GGCAAATTGGAAATTGTTCCATTTCCCTAGTGCCAGCTAATTTCAGGGCTGTTTATGTGGGACTAGGGTGTCGGTGGGCCTCCAGGCACCGTCCTGTACCGATGTCCATGGAAACGGCGCTCACCTCTTTGGTCCTGTCACTAAGGGACTTATGGGGCCGGAAACTCTCTCAGTATTTCCTTGTCTTACTTAGGGACACAAAAATATCTTCCCTGCTTCTCATGCTTTCTCTGTAAGACCATCTGCAGTCCATCCGCCTATCTGTCCAGATGTGACAGGCCAGCATCCCCTCCAGCATCGTGCTCCACAGCCAAGGCTCAGCCCAGGTGACCAGCTTCGGGGGCTCATTCTGCACCCCTATGTCCTTACCCCCTCCACTACCTCCCTGCCAGCCCCCCACCTAGAGGGTGACATTTTCCTGTTTGTAGGAAGCCAGAGTTTCTTCTTCTACTCTTCCCCAAATGTGGGTCCATACCGAGATTTCCCCACCCTCCTAGGGTTTAGACTCCTGGAAACAAAACTGGGGAAGAAACTCAGCTTTAAGCCTCATCTGCTCCTCTCCTTATCACAATGCTCCCTGTGACAATGAGCACAAACCAGATGTGTCTAAAGTCAGGGTAAGATGGGAGAAATCCTCAGAAAAAATCAAAACAATAGAGGCTAAGGTCTCAAACATACTATCCTGCCACTCAAGTATTAAATAAAATTGCACGTGAAAGAGTTCACCATGTTTTAAGGGCCTCAGAAATAATGGCTATTATTTTTCTGCTCTGATCTGTTGGACACCTCATCTGTATCATTTGTTTGGAATCAGTCATGCCCTGCCTTAGATCATCTATTGCACTGGTAATTTACTCTTATATTTTTATTTTCCCAGAGTCTGTACTTTATTCTCCCAACCGTATATAAGTTCCTAGAGAGCGTGGTCTACATCTTATAATTAGCTGAATCTAACAGAAGGCTGGGCTTTCAGCAAACACTCTAGAAACGTGTGCAGATCTAGCCTCGGAAACCCAAAATCACATTTGCAAACATGTAGAGAAAGTTCTTTGTGTAAGAAACCAGGTTATGTTTTTTTTTCTTGAAATAATTCATGAACATATTTGTGTCTAAAGGTTAACAGAGTATCCATGTGGTTTATGAAGACACCCCAGATATTAAAAAGAAAAAGATTTTCAATGTATCTATTATTTTTTAAATCCTGCATCCCAGCCACACCTGAGTGCAAATATATTTCAAATTTTATGCTGGCCTCCTATTGCAAGGTGCTAATTGAATCAATTTCCTGGAGCTGCACCATTAATACATAGAGTACATCACAGATCTGGGATCCTTGAATCAAAATGTACAGAACATGAATGTTTTGCGGAGAGAAAAAAATGGTGTGTAGGAAAATGTCTTAGTATCCGAGAGAGTCGTGAAGTTTAGTGTTTGGTCTTTAAACATGGAGTTGCAGAGTGTGACCTTGAGATGGCTAGAGGACAGACCACAGAGAGCTTCTGGTCATTCTCACCCTGGCCCAGGCCGGCCAGTACTCCAGGATGCCCCAGCTGGCCCCGCATGCCCGAGGGGCCCACACCTCACCACTTCCTACTTGTGTGGCCTCGGGCCACTTACCTCTCTCTCAGGCTGAGTTTACTCCGTTCTAACTACAGAAAAAGTACCTCCATCCCAAGAGTTAGGTAAGGTTCAGTAAGATGATGTCTGTGGAGGACTTGGCACTGTGTTGGAGACGTAGTGCATACCCAGTAAATGATAGTTGCTGCATCTGCTGCTCTAAGGGGACATGTGGTAGACAAAGCAGGGAAACAATGGCCCATTGAATGCCCTGGAGAGTGGCAGCTCTACCATGCACACCCACATTCACACCCTTCTTTTTGCAGGTCAGTGGAAGTGCCCCTTTGCTGGGGCAGGAACAGGCTAATGGCACTGAGGGGTACTTTACCTATGGGGTGTTTGAGGACCTGGACTAGAAGGCCTGAGATGGGTTCCCCCTCACTCTCAGGTCATTGCCACATCAGGGCATTCCTCAAAGGCAAATCTGTTTAGAGTTCCCTGTGGACCGAGTACTTTGATAGAATCTTCTTTCATTTTCAAAGTGATAATTTTTTGGTGGCAGAGAACAACAGTGTGAGTCAAAATGGCTTAAACTGTAAAGGTGGGTGATTGACTCCCTTGGCTGAGGATGTGCTGTGGTAGCGCAGTGAGGAGGTCCTCCTCTGCTAGGACTCTCCCGGCCCTGCCCTCCTTCTTGCATCACCTTGGTTGGCCCTGGTCTGCCTACAAGATGGCTGCCGCAGCTCCAAGCCTTCCTTCTTCACATAATCATCTCCAGGGAAGAGAGCGAGAGTGGGTTCCAGAAAGTTTCTGGAGAGAAAATGGAGGCCCTTTCCCCAAAGGCTGCTGGTTAATTCCTTCTCTCATTTCATTGGCCTAAATTTGGTCTCATGATCACTCCTGGGCCAACCTCTGTGGCTTAGTGGACGCAGGTACTGATCAGCTTCATCTGAAGTTGACACCTGACTCAGTCACTGGAGTGAGGGCAACAGGAAAACCTGAATAACTGCGACTAAGTAGAATCCATCCCTGGAATTCAAGTCAACTCCCGCCAACCTCTGGGCTGCTGCTACAAGAGGGCCGAGGTGAGATGGATGTTGGAGAGACTCCACAATGTCCACTGCTCTGCTGGCATTAATTCACCATCCCTTTCAGTCTGGGAAACAGTTACGAAAGGTCTGCTGTGTGCTGGGCAGGGTGCAGCACACTGGGGCCACACAGGGGCCCTGTGCTGTTGAGAGGAATAAATGAGCCAAGTTATGCAAAGTGCCCAGTGCCTCCCTCTGCCCTTAATACCTGCTCAGTATCATCTTCATTAAATTGAGTAATGCATGAGTGGTCCCTGCCATCCAGGAGAGAGACTTAAACAGCTACATTCTAGCAGCGTGGGAAGGGTAGCAGGAGTAAGCCGGCGGGTGGCATGAAGGAGAGAGATCACACCGGAGCGTGCAGAAGATCCAACCTAAGAAGCTTATAGCCAGGGATTCCTAAACTTGGCTTCACATTTGACGTGCCTGAGGAGCTTCTGGAACTCCCCACACCAATTAAGTCACAATATCTCTGGGTGGGACCCCGCACCAGAATCAGTTTGACTTTTTAAAGATTCCCCAGGTGATGAAAGTGTGCAGCCAAGGTTGCGAACCACAGTCATAGGCTATTGAGGACATAAAGCCCACACATGTAAACCATTAGCAACGCCGGGTTCTGAGGGTATGTTCAAATGAAGTCCGTGCTCTCAGGCTCAGGGCAAGGAGAGGACACGGCGGGGAGGGGGCTCCAGACATGGAGAGGGCTAGTAGACAGGGTGGCTCATGAAAGCTTTCTGTGAGCAAGCAGGGCACAGAGGGCTGAAGGGGCCTTGAAAGACCATGGGATTTGCCTAATGTAAGCAGTTTGGAGGTGGTATCTCACTGTGAGGAGGAACAGGTGAGAGCAAAGTTATGCATGCCAACAGAGAAGGTGTACCAGTGTGTACTCAATCACAGGAGAAAACCACACTGCACTTTCAACAGATCAGTACAGAGAATTATTAACTGCAGTAGGGAATTAGAATAACAAAGGACTGGCTACTAAGAAGTAGAACTGTCAAGCATATGGGAATGCTGGTATTAGGAGCGCCTTCTAGCCCAGGGCTGAGGTAGAGGGCCCCGGGGAGAGCCTTCCGCCCCTTCCGGCTGAGGTCCAGGCTCTGCTGGCATGGAGTGGCTAGTGGAAGGGCAGACAAGTCACTGTGGTGTCACTCTAGTAGAAACAGAAATGTGCCCTCCAGGGTGGTGTCTCACGGGAGCACGCTTCACTAGGGATGCATTGCAGGAGCCAGGTCCTGCTGGAGGCTGCAGGAGTCCTCTGAGAGGACAGGGGAATGGGGAGCCAAAACCCAGAATTGTCCTCCAGAAGCAAGCAGAGGCTCAGGGGTTACAAAACCTTCCCAGGGCATTAGCAAAGCTGGGGTTCAGCCCACCTCCACGTTTCTCATACGTCCCACTACCTCTCTGAACGGAAGTGCAAGATCAAGGCTGGCCTGTCAGTGCAGGCTGCCCGGAGACGGAAGGGGCCTGTGCTCCGTGAAAGCTGTGGGGCCGACCTCCTGGAAGAGGTAAGGATTCAAATGGGCCTGAGGGCAGCTTTTGCTTTGGCGACCTTGAGAAAACCAAGGAGAAAATGGGAGGAGGGGCCTTGACCCGAGTGACGTTGAACGGTTTCCTGTGCTGCAGAGCAGGACTGAGCTCAGATAGGACTCGGCTCAGCCAATAGAAAGAAGGTGGAAAACAAGAAGTAGATGATGAGGACAAAGAGGTAGAACAGAATCAAGGAAGTCCTCCTATGCCAAAGAACTTGAATTTAAGCAGGGACAAAATCAATTCATTGCAAGAGAGCCAGAGCCCAGGGATGTGGGTCTCTAGGATTCCTCGACTGCCTGCCAACCTCTCTGTGGAATTTAGGGAAAGCAAATGCCAGTTTTGGGGTCAGACAGACTGGGAATAGAGAGCCAGCTCTTGGGTTCAGCTGTGTGTCCTGTGCCAAGTCCCTCAACCTTTCTGAGTTTCAAGGTTCTTGGGCTGTGAATGGGAAACACAGATCCCTTCTTTGCAGACTTGCTCAGTTGAAGTCCCTATCAGACAGTCAGGCACACAGCAGGCCTCCCGTTTTTACTCTCTAGGATCCTTTCTCTCTCCTAACGCTGCACATGCCTCTGAAGGCAGCTGTTTCCAATCAGGAATTCCAGGATTTCTAAATTAGTGCAGCTGCGGAGCTCCAACATCTTGGTGTCAGATAATATCCTCTTGTTGAGTCTGGCCACTGAGCTTCCCGCTCTGCAGGAAAAGCTCAGGCTGAGGGGACACAGTCACAGTGTCCTTGGTCCTCCAGCCAGATCGTGCCATGAAGTGGTGTTCCGGATCCAGTCTCCACAGGGCAAATGACCCTGCTGCTTTCCCTTTTAGGAGGAGAAGTCACCAAACCGCGGTTTGCTCAATTCTTTCATGGGAGCCTGGCCAGTCTCACTATCCGCCCTGGCAAAATGGAGAGTCAGAAGGTGATCTCCTGCCTACAGGCCTGCAAGGAAGGACTGGATATTAATTCCCTGGAAAGCCTCGGCCAAGGAATAAAGGTAAGGAATGAGCAAGCATCACCGCCAATAAGACATAGGAAGAGGTGGCCTATGGCCCTCGCCCTCAGGAAATGGAGTCCCCCCCCCCGACCCCCCCCCCAGTTGAGTTGCCTGGAGGTGGTATGGCAGCAAAGGTGCTGGCACAGTGGGGAGACTTGTGACCGTGACTTCCCCGGGGGACTTGCGCTGTGTTCTGGAATTCCTAGATGGAGCCCTTGTGTATCATGGGTTCTCTACCCAAGGGCAGGCATGTGTTCGCCAGCTACCAGAAGGGAATGGTTCTGTTTCAGTAGTTCCTGGGTTGGTGGATTGCTTTGCTGTCTATTTGCTAAATGAACAGAAGCATCATGCCAGAATACCCTTTGGAAATATTTTAAAATAGAATGGAAAGTTTGGCCATGTTAAATATAAATTAGGAAGCAAGGTCACCTGTGGGTGGGGTGGGGCTGGAATTAGAAGATTCGGAGGTCGCTGGGCCTCAGGTTATGAAATTGAAGCACAGATTGGGCTTCCAGCAATCTCTGTTAAAGGGAATGTGAGTGTATTCAGGCAAAATAAAAACATTCACGTGATCCAATAGCATCAAAACTGCATTTGGAGAAAAGCTCCTCCTGAGGGGGCAGGACACACAGAGCTAAATGTCCCCCGTGAGTGTCCTGCCTGCCTCCCAACCCCACAGGCAGCGATAGTTCTGGCCTCACCTGGACCTTAGGAGCTCCTGCCAGCAGGGAGCCTCTGGGAACCTGAGCAAAGAGCTGGGCCAACATCGCTGTAGCCCCTGCTCAATCCTTACAGACCCCAGTGAGAGTAGGCAGGCCACCCTCTGCCTTCAGGAGCACAGGGCAGCCCCTCCCCCCTAACTGTGGGATTTCCTTTATGGGTCATTTCCCAAGGATTGTGTGACCAGAGTAGAGGTTGCCCCCACACCCCTATCTTCTACTAACCTCCTGCCCTGGGCCTACCTCTCCTGGACAGGAAGTCGCTCCCCCACACAGAGACAACACCTTTATTCCCACCGCCAGTGGGGCTAGTGAGGCTCTGACAAGGGGATCCATGGAGGGGCTGATGGCCTGAGCATATCCTGCTTTTTTTTAAGCTACAATCACATCAGACATGACATCAACATCCATGTATTAGTTCTGGGCTGGGGAGGGGAGGGTGGATTGCTGAACATCCCCAGCCTTCTGTCTTCAAGGAAATCAGTGATCCAGGTTGAGGTTTGTAATCTGGTGTTGTAAGCTCTGATGAGAGTGAGCACTGAGGCTCCCCCAAGTGCCAGACAGGGCTCTAAATGCTTTGTGGTTAACTCATTCAGGCTCAGAACAATGCTCTGACAAAGGTACCACAGATATTCCTATTTTGCATATGGGGGATTGAGGACTTTAAGAGAAAGGAAACTTGTCTAAGATCCCAGAATTGGTAATGAGAGGAGCCAGAATTTGAACCACAAGTGGTCCTGCTCCAGAGTTCTAGAACTTGAGGAGCAACAGTGAGGGAAGGCTTCTTGGAGGAGGCAAGGTCTGAGCAGAATGTTTCAGGATGGGGAAGAATCAACCAGGAGAATGGCAGGAGAGGAGAGCTGGGTAGTCACTCAAGGAAGATCTGAGAGCTTGAATGATGGCAGAGGGCTGGGGAGCCCCGCCATGTGCACTGGAATGCCAAGAAGGCCAATGTTACAGTGCCCAAAATGCAGGAGGAAAGGTAGGAAGTGTGGCCGGAGAGCTAAGCCCAGGCTGCATCATGGAGCCCCGTAAACTATGTTCAGGTATTGACATGGGACAGGGAGAGGATCATGATCTGGGCAAGAGCATAGTTTAGGATGCTTCCCTTGGAGCCTGGATCAAAGGGGAAGGTGGGAGGAGTGCATAGACAGGGCAAGGCCAGGCAAGGGCAAGGCAAGAATGGCTTTCCAGATGTTAAATACACACACACACACACACACACACACACACACACACACACACACAGGTGCACTCAGTAGTTAATCCGTTGTCACTGAAGGAAAGCTGCAGGACTGCTTCTTATTGGGAGGGACAACTTTCCCCCTGTCTACTTCATGGCCTATTTCCTACCTCACCTGCAGAGCTGGGGTTTGATCCTCAGCCGGCTGTTTGAGTTGTTTCCTTAGCATTTTATCAGCCCAGTGAGGCTCCATCTCCATCTGATGCTGGGTTTACTCCCTGCCCCAACCCCGAGTGGATCTGCTCTGCTCTGGGGCACCCCATGAGACCAGTTTCAGGGTTCAAGCACTACAGGACAAAGAAAGCAAAGCAAAGATACTGGACCAAAAAGCCACACATTCTTAGAATGATAAATTAAGAGGCAGACCATTTCTGCAGAGCACCAGAGCCTGTGAAAAGAGGGAGTTGTGAACTGAGGGGCACAACTGGGGGATGAGGGGGCTGAGGCTCTTTCGACTTTTCCAGATGCCACCTGTTGATAACCAGTCACTGCAGAGGATCCTTTTCCATCCTTAGGGCACAGCTGGCAAGAACTAGAGCACTGCAGGGGAAGTTAATGATAAGACACAGGATTGATGGTGTCCCCACTGGGGACTATTCCAAGTTCATTATCCCTACTCCTCACAACAGATTAAATGTTATGGCCCCATTTCAGAAATAAGGAGACGGGGGCTCAGGGACTTGCCCAAAATAAGCCTGTGCTCCTTCCTCCACACCAGCAACTCAGATTAGAAGGCATACTTGAAATGATTCAGAATTCCTTGCTTCTTGCCCTTCCTCCATTTATCCCTCATTTCATTTCTGAATAATGACTATTAGTTTCTTTCCTGGTTCCTGGCCTCCTGCCTCCTCCCTGAGTGGTCAAAGGAAAGCAAGGGCCTCCTGTAATTAACAAAACTTCCCATCTGCTCGCAGGGACCAGCCTGGGTTCCTGTTTTCACTTGTTTTCCCCTGCTGAATATTTGTTCTGCGTGTCTGCAGTCATTAAATGGTTGGGGTGGTTACTGTCCCATACCATACGAGACACTGTGACTCTGTGGAATGGCCACATTCCTGAAGAATCCCGTTCTGATCTTCATAGCATCATGTCTGCCAGTCTGTGGAGGAGGGGAAAAGATTAAGACCTTTGGGACAAGGCACTCCTAGGTTCAAATCATAGTACAAATCCTAGCTGTGTGACCTTGGACAAAGCAATTTAATCCTTTAAGCCCCAATTCCCTCATGTGTTAAAGTATACTTCCTTGTGATGTGGGAATTGGATTGGATTCTATATATATAGAACATACACATACAACATACACACATATATATATATATATACATACACACATACATATATATATGATATATATATAGAAAAGATATGTATAGATAGATGAGATGATAGCTATAGATATATAGATACAGATCTCCCTTAGTAAACCTAATTATAGGTTCTATTAGAACCTAATAGGTTCTCAACAAATCAGTTCTCTTCTCTAGCTGGGCTGGCCTTGCACTTGGCATTGCCACAGTGCCAGCTTCATTTGAAACCTAAACCTGGGTGGCGGTTATGGCAGAGGACACTTGAATGTGGCAAGTCTTCATCTGGCCCAACCCAGAGGGGCTGGCGGGTATCCAGGTGAATGGCAAGGTGCCTAGAGTGCCAGAGCCAGCTTCCTCTTGAGAAATAGGCCTGGGCTTTGGGCAAGGATTTCACTGATGTCCTAGCCTGCTAGGTGCCTGGTGATACTGGCTGACCCTCTGGGAGAACAGACTATTCCCAAAGGCCATCAGTCTAGCAGCTTCGTGGCTTAAAGAGAGGAATCCCTGTGGCCACAGCACAGCTTTCCAAAAGAAAATGAGTCTGTCACTCTTTGCTGGACCCCCAGGAAGCCACCCCCTGTCCCCGTGATAATGCTAACGCCATTCTGTGTTCTACACAGATACCGGTTACCCTTAGTCATGTCATGGGGCTGGGAACACTGCAATTTAAAGCAAAACAAAACAAAAAACCTACTTTGGTAGAAGGTCTTATTGATCCTGCAAGAACTATATTGATGGCTAGGTCAGTACCCACTTTCATGCCCTGTGGCAGCCCTCAGGATGCTCAGGTGGCCAGACTAGGGTATTAACTGGAGATCCAACACCTAGCCTAGCCATCCTCTCCTTAGGTGGCTACAGTGGGAATGCGCCCTCTGCTGATTGGCACGGGATACTGCTGATTCAAACTTGTGGAAGAACTGATTTTTTTTTTTTTTTTTTTTTAATTAAAGTAATCTCTACACCCAGGGTGCCTGGGGCTCAGTTGGTTAAGCACCTGCCTTTGGCTCAGGTCATGATGGATCAAGCCCCACATCGGGGAGCCTGTTTCTCTCTCTGCCTGCTGTTCCTGCTGCTTGTGCTCTCTGTCAAATAAATAAACCTAAAAAACAAAAAACAAACAAAAAATTCTACTTCCAGCATGGGACTCAAACTCACAACCTCCAGATCAAGAGTCACATGCTCTTCCAACTGAGCCAGCCAGGCACCCCATGATTTTCCTGTCCAGCCCTTATGTGAAGTTTGGATCAGCTTCCTCCACAAGGCTTATCATTCTGTCTCCTGTTTCTCCTGTGCTAGACCCTGTGGTGACCCTGAGGAAAAGTCAGTAGACCCCACCCTCAAGGTGTTCACAGTTGCCTGAGGGAGGCAGGCAGGCAGACAGCAGCAGCAGCTCCATGACTCTGCTGTAGCAGGGATGGTGCAGGGTGGGGTCGGGGAGAGGTAGGGAGGTAGGAGGACAGGAGGAACATAAGTGGTATTTTAGAAGAATGGACTTGCCTCTGCTTGAATCTGAAATGGACGATTTGTGCAGCTCTCAGAACAGGGCATCTCTATGGCTGAGCACGCTCTGGTGGCAAGTCCACGGCAAGGGAGAAGTCAGCTCAGAGGATGACTCTGGGATCACCACATATACCCGGGCACTCCCAAACTGAGCAGAGGGGTTGGTGCTTGTGACCAGACCTCCCAGGCTAGAGAAACCATGCTCAGTGCATGGATGGCAGAAGGGAACTGGATCACAGGGGAAGAGCATCAGTGAAGGCAGCAGTACCTGTGTGGGCAGACTCCGTGAGGAAATAATTACAATGTTAGGAACTATAATAAAAGCTATCATGGACTGAGCATCCTTTAAGCACTAGATTTGTTATATACATTACCTTATTTAAACCCTCAGATAGGTAGATACTAATATCCCCATTATTTTAAATGAGGAAATAAAGTCCGGAAAGGGGACGTAAATCATCCAAAGTTGTATTCTGTAGTCTGCACTGGAAGTGGGGTACAGCAATCCAGGCACCCCTGATCTTTCAAAGATGTCACATAGCCTTGGGTGAGAATCCTGCCTGGGAAGGGCTGAATTTTTCCACATGGGCTAAAATACTGCAGTAGCATAGGACTCCAAAATCCCTATAGTTTAATGCTTAAAACTTTATTATCCTCTCACATCAAGCCCAGGAGGTGGAGTGAGGTTTCTCCCAACACCCTAGCCACCAAAGTGCAAGTGGGGGTGGAGGGAAAGGCTGGAGCTTCCCCCAGGGCTCTTTAGGGCCTCAGCCCAGGAGCGCTGGCTCATTTCCTCTCACAGTTCATTGGCCAGACGCAGTCACGTGCCCCCCTCACCACCACCACAGCAAGTGGCTGAGACCAAGTGTAGCCTCCAGGATGCTGAGCATGCAAAGGAGAGCAGGGCTTAGTGAGCACTGATAATGACTCCCACAGAGCCTTGGCTGAGAAGACAGTGGATGAAAAGTAACCTGAGGAGTAACCTGGCAAAGAGGAGTAACCTGGCAAAGACACTGAGTCAAATGTGGACCAAGGGGGAACATTTACTCATTAATCTAATGGGATTACGGGCACTAGGGCTAGGTTTTGGGATTTGGGGATAAGAGTTGGAGTCCCAGTCCTCAGGGAGCTCATGGTCACTGTGCTGTAATCATTGTACTACCATTTCATAAGCACTATAGGAGCCCAGTGGGGACCTAAAAGAGGGAAGCTGGGGTGCCCTCAAGGAGGAGGTAAGAGTAAAACAAATGACAGTTGAAGAAGGAAAAGAGTAAGCTCTCAGTTGGCTAGGGATCACATTAAAAGGACTTATGTGGGTCAGTATCAATAGTGCTCAGGGGACACCTACCTCCTTTTAGAGTCCAGGCACAGAACAGGGAACTCTTAAAAAGACAAGCCAGATCAGGGAAAAGTTAATATAGATGGATTTTTCCTTAAACTCTTAACAGCATACTCCATCTCCTTCATGGCAAGAGAAATGTAAATTAAAACTACACTAAGGTAGCATTTATCACCTATCAGACTGGCAAAAATCCCCAACGACAGCATATTCTGTTGAGGTTTTGAGAAGAGAGGCATTCCCACACACTGGGAGAGGGAGCATGTATTGATATCATTCCTAGCAATGGGGAATTGGGCAACATTTGTCAAAATTTAAGGTGCATATACTGTTGGGCCTAACAATTTCACAAGGAGGAATTTATCCAGTAGATATATATATTTGCACACATATGAAATGTGTACAAGATTATTCATTGTGGCATTATTAAAGATTGGAAATTATCCAGATGTCCATAAGAAACTGGTTAAATATAATTTATATACACAGAATATTATACAGCGGTAAAAAAGGAGGAAGCTTGTGATGTGCTAGTACAGAAAGTCTCCAAGATATAAGCTAAGTAAAAAAAATTAAAGTACAATAAAGTATTATACTTTTTATTTTTATTTTCTTGTACTTTTTATTTTACAAAATAAAGTATATAAAAAGCTACCATTGGTAGAAGAAAGGAGAAAAAAGGAAATCTGTATTCATAAGAATGCTAAAGAATAGCTCTCAGGACAGGCTTGGTAATGCTGCAGTAACAAGTGTCTAAGACATTTCAGTGCCTTATACAACTTTTTTTTTTTTATTGTTCCCACCCAGTGTCCATTATATATGGGCTTTGGCTCTGAGCCACATACTACCCCACTGTGAGACCCAGGCTGATGGACCAGGCCCTAAGGGAACCTGGCAGGTTTCACTTCAGAGGGAAAGGAATACGGCAAACTGGGGAACTGGCTGTGAAACTTCCATATGAGTGTGAACCAAATAATGCTTCTGCCCACATTTCACTGACCGATTAAGTCACAGGAGCACCACTGAGTACAACAAGGCAAAAAATGTTTACCTTGCCGGGCAGGGATCCATACGTCACATAGTCAAGCCTATGGACACTAGGACAGGCATGTATAAGCCTCCTACTGGGAGAGGAAGCAACTAATAATGAACAATAATGCAATCTGGCCCTAAGAAATTACATAACAGTGACTACTTATGGGATGGGATATTGGAAACTGGGTAGATAGGGATAAGATGGACACTTTCACTTAGTACATATGTATATTTGAATTATGTGAATATGTGATCCAAAAAAATGCTGCCCAGTAGCTACATAAAAATATATCCAGATCAGGGGCACCTAGCTTGCTCATTTGGAACAGCACACAACTTTGACTCAGTTAGGGTTGTGAGTTCGAGTTCCCCATTGAGTATAGAGATTACCTAAAAATAACTAAGTAAAAATATATCCAGATCTCCTTTTCCTGTGATATGAACTTTGGACACATCACCTAAATGCACTGATAAGCTCCTGACGTCTTACTGATAATATTCCTGCTCAGAGGTATGTGAAGATCAGCTAGTGGAACCTGTACCAGGGCAGCTCTCCCTGCCTGATGCCTGTGAGAGCAACTGCTGGGGCTTTTCAGGGAGAAGCAGGAATCTGTATCTGGTGTGTCTGGTTTGAGGACTCAAGGGACTGGGTGAGGAGCATCGTAGCCCCCAGACCTTTACCGAGCTCGGGATACCAGGGACTATGAGCGGAATGAACAGATACAGGCCTGGGACAGCTAGCGGGAATGTACACTGCAAGTGAACAAACTCCCGGCAAAGCAGGGTAGGGCACTGGGGAAGCAAGACCAGGAATGAGATCTAAGAGAGAAGGAGAGCCATTAACTGAAATGTGAGCTGTAAGGTTGGTAGCTAAGAAGGTGGCGTGAATCAGGAAGGGGAGCACAAGGTAAGCTGAGGAGCAGTTCAAGGCCAAAGACAAGACCAGGGAAATGAGCCAAAGTCCCACATTTCTGGTCAGCCAGCTGAGGAGGCAGGCTGTCTGAGGGCTGAAAGGCTGCTTACGACCTCGCAGCAGCCCAGAGCAGGGACCACCCCCGCACAGGCTAGACCACAGGAGCCCTGGGACGGGCCTTCAGAATCCCATCCTGTGGCTCAAGGGTTTCTAACCCTCTGTGGATCTTACGGGGAGGCCTAGAAGCCTCCCAGGGATAGCAGGAATTGTTTGAGGGGTGAAAACAGTCCTCCACAGCACTAGGTTAACATTATAGACCAAGTGATGCATCGCTGAGCACTGTATCAAAAACTAATGAGGTACTATACAGTGGCTAACTGAACATAATAACAAAAATTAGAGTGTAAAAAAAATAAAAAATTAAAAATTAAAAGTCAGCCGTGCACATGGCTGCTGCACTTGCAGACACCCTGGAGACATTGGGCCTTCCTGGCCTATCCATGCAGACAGTGGGCTCCATTGTTGGTCACTGTCTCCCACGAGACCCCCTTTCCTCCTCCAGTACCACTTCAACCCCTCGCAGTCCGTCCTGGTGATGGAAGGTGACGACATTGGGAACATCAATCGTGCCCTCCAGAAGGTGTCCTACATCAACTCCAGGCAGTTCCCGACGGCGGGTGTGCGGCGTCTGAGAGTCTCCTCCAAAGTCCAGTGAGTAGATAGACGCTGGTCAGCCAGGGGCCCAGCTGAGGCAGTGGGGATGGTCCCTGGGGAATGTTCCCTGGCAAAACAGATTCATCTTTCTTCAGCTATTTGCAGTTTCTCTGCTACCCCTAGAAGGAAGCCCCAATGGATCTGTATTCTCTTCTTGTTTTCTTCTTAAAGAAAATGTTCGGTTGCTTTGCCAACACAAATTCAGCTTCCTCTATTTAATCCAGAATCTGATGTAGTACTGCATCCTGTAAATTCGCAGAAAGCTCGGTTTTTAGTGGTCTGATATAAGGTTACAGTAGCCGGTACGTAGTCGGTACTTGAAAAATGTTTAATAAATTGGATTAAATCAACCAACCCAGCTTTGTAGAGCAGCTGAATACCACAGGTCTTCAAGAGAAAGAGAGGGTATAGTTCTTGTCCCCAGGGGTCAGCGCCCAGTAAAGGAGAGACTATTTATGAGTGAAGCCTGGGGATAACTCACATCTTGGTCTGTCAAATCATTTCTCAGCCACAGCAACTGCCTGGTGGGACCCCAGAAAAACTCCTAGGAGGCAGAAAGGGGAGTTCCCTAATCCCCGGAGCCAGGATAAGAAGCCAGCAGGATAGGAAGAAGGCTGGGAAAGACTGGTCTGCTGACTGCCACGTTACTGGGGCCAGGGACAGGTGCCAGACTAAACCCCACAGGCAGCACTCAGATTCAACAGCTCTAGGGACAGAGGAGGTATGCCCCCCTTCACACTAAGGGCCCCCACTGGAGGCCTGCAATAGGGAGCAAGCATCTCCAGCTCAGCTCCACACTGCAGTCAAATAGAGGGACCAGGCTTCTGTGAAGCCATGAGGGGCACGGTGCCCTCTGGGACTGGTGCAGCAGAGGCCAGGTGAAACCAGGGTGAGGAGCATACCACGTTCCCACATCTCGCCCACCACACAGAAGAAGAGGGAGTGGCTCAGCATGGTGTCCACCAGACGGCACTTCCCCCGGGAACTTACCAAAAGGATACAGATTGACAGCCGCCACCAGCTGGAGTCCACCTAGTGTTCCCAGTGCGGCCCTCTGGGCCCCGGAGCTCTAGCCTAGGTCTTTGGCTTAGGTGAGCAGCACAGAGTGCCAGTGACTCGTGTGCCTGATGCGGTATGATGAGGGTGTTGGATCCACCTACATTTACTGAGCTCCAACCGTGAGGCCGACTCAAGGCTTGGCTTCTTTTTTATATGCCATCACATTTAATCCTTGCTCTTAGGAGGGAATTAATTATGGTCACCCCCAATGAAAGAAACTGATGGAGAGGGCGCTTGGGTGGCTCAGTGGGTTAAAGCCTCTGCCTTCGAGCTCAGGTCGTGATCTCAGGGTCCTGAGATCGAGCCCCACCCACATCGGGCTCTCTGCTTGGCAGGGAGCCTGCTTTCTCCTCTCTCTCTGCCTGCCTCTCTGCCTATTTGTGATATCTCTGTCAAATAAAATCTTTAAAAAAAAAAAAAAAAAAACTGATGGAGAAACTGAGGTTCCCAGGAGTCCCGCCTTGCCCAGGGTCGCCCAGCCCCGCTGTGGCTGAGCCAGACCATGGACCTTTTCTAACTTCCCAGGTCTTGCTTGTGAGGTCACAGCTGTCTGCCTTCCAGGTATTTTTGTGGCAGTGTACCAGGAGAAAAGAGAGGATCCGTGGCACACCCGCCACAGGGGCACTGTGGGAGCTCCTCATCGAGAGACGACAGACATGAGCACGGGAGAGTTCAGCCCTGGGGTCTCAGCACGATGCCTGTACCCAACCAGTTAGATGGCAGTTTGCATACAAAATCTTAGTGCTATACCAAGCAGTGGCTAATTAATGTTACCACTGATTACTTTGTTAAAGGATAATTAGAGGTTTAACAGTTACTTGTCTCTGGTACCGAAGATTCCCAGTTCTCCCAGAAGCCAATCCTCTTAAGTCCCTAGATGGCTTAGTTTGACTATGCTGTAGCTTTCAGTCTGAATGTCTGTTGACATGCTCCGAGACTCCAAGGCAGTCTGGAGACCTCTAGACCCTTAGCAAGGGCTAGAGGTGGTTATGTGTCTCCTCATCCCCGGTCCCGTGGTGGTGGATGTGTTCGTGGCTTACTCTTCAGTGCCGTGACCGCAGCTGTTTTCCCAGGTGCTTTGGAGAAGATGTGTGCATCAGTGTCCCCGACGTGGATGCCTTTGTGATGGTGCTTCAGGCCATTGAGCCCCAGATCAGCCTCCGGGGCACAGACCGCCTCTGGAGACCCGCCGCCCAGTTTGAAAGTGCCCGAGGGGTGACCCTCTTCCCCGACCTCAAGATCGTGAGCACCTTCGCCAAAGCCGAAGCCCCGGGTGACCTGAGGCCCACAGGTACAGATGTGCGCTAGGTTGTAGGACAGGAGCCTTCTGTTCTCAGAGCCATGCCAAGTCCCCCTGCAGGACAGCAGACTGTTTACCACAGCAGGGAATTTCCAATTGCAGAGCAAACAAACCTGCAAACAACACAAATAACAGGAGGGAAATGAGCCATTTGGCAAATAATTCGTCCATGCATGTACATGATAAGATGCTGGAGGGAGGGCATTTATGTCAAAGGGCAAATGAAAGAAAGCAAGTTGCAAATTACAGAGTTCCTACAACACACACAGAAAAGTGCCAAGAAGAAAGCACACCTGACACTAGAAGTGCCGCTCTCTGAGACGCGAAGAGCCCATTTGTCTCTGTACCCCTTCACCTGGCTGCAAATGCAGAATGTTCAATAGTGCACATGTGTTATTGTGATAATCAGAAGAGAAGCTAAGGAGGCACAAAGGAAAAATCTAGCTGTGCCTTAGTAGACATACGGTAAAAGTCGGGTCTGATCCACCAGATTAGTGTAAGCTCTCAGGAGACTTTCCAGCATTATTGGAAGGGCTTCCCGGTGGAGGTGGCCATTATTGGAATGTTCTGCCAGGGAGAAACAATCCGTTGCATGAAAAGCTACAGTGCATTCAGCTGGCAGGGCATGGGGGGTAAGAGGAAGGAAGGTTAGAGAAGGAAGAAAGGGAAACCCAGAGCCCAGAGCTATAGGGAAATTACCCATTGAACCATCCTCTGCAGCCTCCTCCAGGAGTGGACTTCCAGCTCTCCCTCTCGGCCTCCAGGAGCAGCTGCTGCTGATGTGCTGGTAGAAGTGGGCCTGAGTCCCTGACTGGCTGTTCGTCTGGTAGTCCGAGTTACTCACTGACTTAAACCACCCTGGTCCCTAGCGAATGGGGTGCCTCCAATGCAGCCCTCCCTAACTCATGACAGTAGATGGTGTCTTACCAGGTGTCCCTGCCAGGACAGGGCCCTAGCCTCGTGACACACCAGATGCATTAGGGCCTGTGAGCTTCCCCTTCTTCCCCTTGCCCTCATTTGGAGCCACAGTCAGATGGAGAAAGGAAGGGCCTCTGCCCAGAGTGGCTGCAGGCTGTAACTGGGAGCTTGTGGACGTGCTAGGCCTGCCACTGGCTAACAGGCGATGCCAGGGAAAAGCAATTACCTGGGCTCTCACTCACCTTCTGTTTATGAGAGGTGCGGGCAGAGCACAGAGCCCGAGAGCTGCTACAGGTACTCTTTAAATCTTCATATTATTATTGTTAGAATAATTGTTATTGTGGACGCCTTAAGTAAGTAGGCTCATGGCATTTGCCGGCAGGCTTCAGCAACCCGCCCTAGCATCACCTTCTGTCCCTACTGACCTCCTGCTCTTTGTGCTGTTTCTGTACCAAAGACAGGCAAGTCCCCCCGTGTACACTCCTCTCTCTCCTACCCCTGTGTTCTTGCTTTTGCTCGTGCCCTACCCTCTGCCTGGAAAGGCCCTGACCTTCCCCATCCGCATTACTGCTGGTAAGTGTCTCCCCCACCAGCACCCTGCCCCCTCACCTGGGCCAGCTATACTGCTCTGTAAGCCCCCCATAACTGATGCTTCCTTGCCCCCCCCCATGTTTGCTAACCCTTGGTGGCAGTTATCAGTTAATTAAGCCAGACCAGGGGCTCCCTGAGGGCTCAACCATGGCGGATTCAACCAGCACAGTCCCTTCAGCGCAGTAGGAATCCAGAGAAGTACAGATGGAAGATAGAAGCTATCATATAGCCCCAGAAGAGCAATGAGAAAATGCTCCACAATTACACCACGTCCCCTTCATAGTGTGAGCAATCAGCCAGCCACACGGGGACATAGGAGTAAGGATGACCTAAGCTGACCTGGTAAGAAGCTGACAAAAAACTCCAGAAACCAAGCAAAGTCCATTTGAAATACAGATACAGTATGCTATCGCTAACGATAGGCCTTCCATGTAGATGTATGTGATTTTAGATTTTGCTGGTGAAACATGAAGCCTTTGAGAGCACCTAAAAATTAAGCATATGAAATTATTTATAATAATGTATATCTGGTGAGAACAAAAAATATTTTTGGTATCACTTAAAAATTAAAATAGAAAATAATTACTTAAAATAATTTTCTCTAGTAAGTCCTTTTAATTTCCATTTCATAAATGTTTTATAGTATACAAAATATATTAGTCCACTTTATCAATAAATAACTATACATATTGAAATGATCTCAGTTCAGAAATTTTTCCCAAAAAGGCTGCAAGATCAAAAGCATTTGAAGACTATTAGTCCAAATGTTATGAATTTATAAACTGTGGAATCAGAATGTCATGGTTTCTGTCCCAGCGCTTCCCCTAATTTCTGTGTAAGCCTGGGCAATCCACACTATCCTCTGGACCTTCCACTTCACCACTGGTGGAATGGGAATAATATTAGTACCCCATTTAATAGCTATCAGGATTGTTTGCACAGTGCCTGACTCATAGCAAGCACTCCATAAATACCACTTTTATTATTTTTTTTAAATCCAGTGTAGTTAACATGCAGTGTTAGTTTCCACTGTACAATATAATGATTCAACAATTCTGTACATCATCCAGTGTTCATCACAAGTGCACTCCTTAATCCCCATCACCTATCGCACCCACCCCCACCCACTTCCCCTCTGATAACTATCAATTGTTCTCGAGAGTTAAGGGTCTATGTTTTGGTTTGTCTTTCTTCTTTGTTCATTTGTTTCTTAAATTCCACATATAAGTGTAACTATATGGTATTTGTCTTTTTCTGACTTCCTGCATTTCAAGATCCATCCACGCTATTGCAAATGACAAAGATTTCATTCTTTTTTATGGCTGGGTAACATTCCATTGTGTGTCTGTAAATACATACACATGGTGGAATATTATTGCATACATACATGTATATACACACACATATGCACACACATACCACCTCTTCTTTATCCATTCATCTATTGATGGACACTTGGACTGCTTCCATAATTTAGCTATGGTAAATAATGCTGCAATAAAAGGAGAGGTGCATAGGTCTTTTCAAATTAGTGTTTATGCATTCTTTGGGTAAATATCTGGTAGTGGAATTACTGGATCCTATGGTCATTCTATTTTCAACTTTTTGAGGAGCCTGCACACTGTTCCCCACAGTGGCTGTGCTTGTTTCCATTTCCACCAACAGTGCATGAGGACTCCCTTTCTCTACAACCTCGTTACTTGTTGTTTCTTGTGTTGTTGTTATTGTTGTTTATTTTCGTCATTCTGACAGGTGTGAGGTGATGTCTCATTACGATTTTGATTTGCATTTCCCTGATGATGAGTGATAGGGAACATCTTTTCACTTGTCTGTCAGCCATCTGGATGTCTTCTTTGAAAAATGTTTGTTCGTGTCTTCTGAACTTATTCATTGGATTATTTGTTTTGGGGGTGTTTAGTTGTATGTAAGTTCTTTATATATTTTGAATACTAATCTTTTACCAGATATGTCATATGCAAATATCTTTTCCTTTCAGTAGTTTTAATTATTTGCTTCCTTAGCTGTGCAAAAGTTTTTTACGCTGACGTAGTCCCAATTTTACTTTTGTTTTTGTTTACCTTGCCTCGGGAGACATACCTAGAAAAATGTTGCTATGGCTGGTGTCAGAGAAATTACTGCATGTGCTCTCTTCTAGGATTTTTATGGCTTCTGGTATCTCAGTTATGTCTTTAATCCATGTTGAGTATGGTGTAAGAAAGCAGTCCATTTTCCTTCTTTTACATATAGCCAACCAGTTTTCCCAACATTTGTTGAAGAGACTATGGTTTTCCCATTGTATAGTCTTGTCTCCTTTGTTGTAGATTGATTTAAAAGCATGGGTTTATTTCTGGAGTCTCTACTCTGTTCTGTTGATCTGTGTGTCTGTTTTTTGTGCCAGTACCATACTGTTTCGATTACCACAGCTCTGTAGAACATACTGAAATCTGGGATTGTGATGCCTCCAGTTTTGTTCTCCTTTTTCAAGATTGCTTTAGCTATTTGGGGTCTTCTTTGATTCCACACAAATTTTAGGATTGCTCTTCTATAAAAAATGTTGTGTTTTGATAGGGATTGCATGAAATCTGTAGATTGCTTTGGGTAGTATGGACATTTTAACAATATTTGTTCTTCCAATCCATGAGCATGGAATGTCTTCTCCTTTGTTTATGTCATCTTCAGTTTCTTTCATCAATGTTTTATAGTTTAAAAGAGTACAGTAGGTCTTTTACCTCCTTAGTTAAGTTTATTCCTAAGTATTTTATTATTTTGATGCAATTGTAAATAGGATTGTTTTCTTTTGTAAAGATTTTATTTGAGAGCACAAACAAGAGAGCAAAAGAAAGAGCACACATGGGTGGTGCGGGGGGGGGGGGGGGGAGACAGGCAGCGGGAGAAGGATAAGCAGATGCCCCGCTGAGCAGGGAGCCTGATGCAGGGCTCAATCCCAGGACCCTGGGATCACGATCTGAGTTGAAGGCAGACTCTTTTTTTGTTGTTGTTAATGTTAGTTACCATACAGTAAATCATTAGTTTTTGATGTAGTGTTTCATTGTTCATTGTTTGCGTATAACACCCAGGCTCCATGCAATACATGCCCTAAATACCTACCACCAGACCAACCCATCCCCTCACCCTCCTACCCCCTAAAACCCTCAGTTTGTTTCTCCGAGTTCAATCTCTCATGCTTCATCTTCCCCTCCGACTCCCCCCACCTCACTTTTCTCTTCCTTCTCCTAATGTCCTCCATGCTATTCTTTATGTTTCACAAGTAAGTGAAACCATATGATAATTGACTCTCTCTGCTTGACTTATTTCACTCAACATTATCTCCTCCAGTCCCATCCATGTTGATGCAAAAGTTGGGTATTCATCATTTTTGTTGGCTGAGTAATACTGCATTGTATATATAGACCATATCTTCTTTATCCATTTGTCAGTTGAAGGGCATCTCGGCTCTTTCCACAGTTTTGTTATTGTGGACA